AAATAACAAGGTACTGAAAATGGGGATACAGGATGACCCACTGTGACAAGGGATGTGAGGGACACTGTGTTGAGAAGGAACTTTACAACTTTTGGCAGGGGTAGGGAGGAGCTGGGGAGTAGGGAGGGAAGGGATGACGGAGGAAAGGGTAAGGGAGGGGGTGACAATGCTCGATGGGAAGTGGACTCATTGCCTTGCTCATGTAGCTATGGCCCCTCTGTACAACACCTTTACAATAAAAGGTATATATCAAAAAAAGAAAAGTAATCTGCCTAAGGGAGCTATGAAGAACAGGTGCATATAAAGAATAAAAAGCCCATTCAAACTAGATACAGGCATAAGCAGGGTGGCTATATATGCTGATATGTCTAAACCAGGACTGTTTCCTGTTTCCTCCCTTAAGGGCTCCTTTCATACTTAAGTGTTTTGCTTGGAAAATTATATGGTCACTCTAAGTATAAGGTATAACCAGGAAGTAGGAGGAGATTTGCCCAAACAGATAAGACTGAAAAGTGACATAATAAGGGCTTTGTGCCAAAGAAAATATATATACAATTATGCTTCATATTTATATGAACTCTATAGATATTTAACAGCATATTTTAGGAGGATCAGGTAGCACTTCCAGAAAGAGATGGAATGAGGGGTATGAATACTAGTGAGGTTTACATAATAATTCTGGTCCCCATCTTAAAATGAAAGAGATAAGTGTGAAAGATATTACAACCTATCTTAGATCTTAGCAACATTTTCCTTATGAGGGCAAATAGTGCATTTTTAAGGATTTGTTATCTGTCATCATTACGTATAATTGTATCATTCTGTCATTGTCGCTGAAAGCAGCTCTTGGTAATATACAAATGAATAAATGTTATTGCAAAACTTTATGTACAGACACTAAAATCAGAATTTCATAAAATTTCCATGCACATTAAATATTACTACTGGATTAATTTCAGCAAGTCAAAATGTGAAAACCATTCACACTTTATAGACTACAAAAACAGGCTGTGTCTTAGGCAGGCAGATCTCTGCTTAGCTGGATCACATACTCACATTAGCATGTGACCTTAATATCCATTTATAGGACACTCCCAACATTACCAAATCACCAGATGTTAGTTTTGATCAGAACTGAAAGAACTTTGAGTAATAGAATCCCATTCAGAATTGTTTTGAGTCCTCACAGAAGACAACGAGAGCACATTTACATCAGTCTAAATAACAAACTTTTGTTTCATTGAATTACATAGGAATAGGTTTGAGATAGAACCAGAGGGAAAAAGCAATTGCCCTTGTTAACCACCTTCATTCACACATTCAGATACTTCCTCGCTCCGAGACATCCCCATAAATTGTGTCAAGGTGCTTCTCACTACAGGTGAGCACGCACCTGCTCAGAAGTAGTGCTCCGATTCAACTGTCTTGGCAACAAAGGAATAACTAGGTGATACAGAGGACTTTCAAAGACCTTTTTCTATATTCTGCATAGAAGTTCAAGCTAACTTAACTAAAATGCACAAATGCTTCTTTTCCTCAAGTGCCACCATAAAACTGAAGTCATGCTTCTTGATTAGCATTCATCTGGCAAGGCAAGAACAGAGGCAATAATGGGGGAATGAAACTGATGCAAGGCTGATGTTTCATCTGTAAGATGTTCAGAATCTCCAACAGCTTCCAAAGTGTGCAGCACCACACATGGCTTCCACTTCCTTCACCTGCCTCTTATTTAAACAAATGATGTCTCATATCCCCCAGCTGAGGCCCATCCTGTCTTCCAATTGAAAATTCCTAAGACTTTGCTTCCTTCAAGTGTTTGCAAGTTAATGACTTAAGATTCTAGAATCACAACTCATAAAGGACAGGCAAATGATAAAGTACAGCCTAAAACAAGTTGTTCTTATATTTCCAAAACCAGAGCAATCAAAATATGGTATCAAGTAATATAAACTAAGGGGCATAGAACCAGAATTATTTTGATCTAAAGCTTACACTTAGCTAAAAATATTTGTCACTCCAGGACATTTAACTGGTTTGGTCCAAATCCGCACTGTACAGTTTTGAGCAACTTCTAACATTCTCTGCACTAGGAATCTAAGTTTTTTTTGTCTACCATTTGAGCCACAGCACCACTTCTTGCTTTTTCTTAGTACTTTACTGGTGATAGGTGATAGGAGTCTCACAGACTTTTCTTCCCAAGCAGGTTTGAACCAGGACCCTCAGATCTCAGCCTCCTGAGTAGCTAGGATTATAGGCATGAGCTATTGGCACCTGGCTCACTTTAAAAAAAAAACTCTTGTGTCCATTTCCTGAAGTTCATTTTGATAAATACTATTTATATGATCAGATTCACTTTTTTTGTCATTCACAGGGCTTGAACTCAGGGCCTGGACACTGTCCTTGAGCTTTTTCCTTCAATATTAGCTCTCTACCACTTTAAGCCACAGCACCATTTTCAGTTTTCTGGTAGTTAATTGGAGGTTCGAGTTTCATGGATTTTCCTGCTCAAGCTGGCTTTTAACCATAATCCTCAGATCTCAGCCTCCTAAGTAACTAGGATTACAGTCATGAACAACTGGTGCTCAGCCAGAATCTAACTTTTAAAAGATGGACTGGCTATATCTGAGGACAGAGAAAAAGGAATATTAACAATGTCTCTGATAAATTAGAACAGTTCTCAAGGAAAATGAAATTTGATGCATTAAGTATCTTAACACAATACATGCATCCAGTTCTGCTTGCTTACTAACAGCGAAAACTGTTAACATTCCTTAAGCCTCAGATTCCATATCCATAATGATGAGAAGAAACAATAGTTCTCAAAAGACTATTGGGAAGATTAAATAAATTACAGTGAAGCCCTCTAATAACAAGTGAGAGATAGTGTGGAAGCTCAGTAGTAGAGCACATGCCTAGCAAGCACAAGGCCCTGAAATCTAACCCCCATACTTACAGTAACTCCGACACCAATAAATTTATGAAAGTGATCTTACCTGGCTGCTGTTATGAGTAAAATCAAAACTGAAGAATAAAGTAAAATGAGAAAAGGGATTAGAGAGAAGTTTATTAGCAGAAATAAAATCTAATGGGGGTGAAGAAGGTAATGAAAAAAATACAGCTCTAGAAGCATATAAAACATTTGATTTATAGTCTATAAAGTACGATTCCCCCCCCCCCCGCCCCCATTTGTAGCCAAGTTTCAAAGAAAGGGGTTTGGTTACCACTAATACTTTTTGCCTTGTGTCCTCATACAAATATTGCCTCATACCAGGTGTCATTCCAAGGATGTTCAAGAAACCATTCCGTTCAACATTTCTGCATCTTCTGTTTTCTAAGATGCAGATATACCAAGATGAGTACATTGATGAATTTAGTTGTATCCATTATCACTTATAGAGAAATAGCCTTCTTAATCTCAGGCAAGGAAGGAGAAGAGAGACTACATGCTCTACCCAAACACTACCAGTGCTTGTCTCTGAGGGGATGAAGGATGACATGTTCTTCCACATTGCAGGGCGGAACTTTCCAAATTGTCTACAGTGATTGGCTTGGTTTGGTTTAAATAAGGACCCAAAAGAGAATTATGTCTTTGAAGCTGGAAACTTTTTATCTATGGGCAGATAATATACTGCAAGGGGATTTGGCTTATATATTTGCAATGGAAATTAGCTAATCATCTTCATTTTTAAAACAAGGCTTTAAATATGAAAAGGGACCTCAGAAACAATCTAAAGCAATTTCTGCATTTTTTAAAGACATGAAAATTGAAAAATGAAATGATTTGTTTATGATCACAAAAATAGTAACAGCTTCAAGACTAAAACGAAAGTGTCTTTACTTCTCACTGACCATTTCTTAATCCAAGCTACTTGTTGAAATTGGAATTCTCTAAAATCCACCAGCATCTAGAGAAACATCAGTGTGTAAGGTCCAACAGGAATACAAAATTATATAAAACCTGGACTAGGGGGTAGGCTTTCTCTGTTGGTGCCCATACTGGGGCTTGAACATGGGGCCTATACACTGCCCCTTAAGCTTTATCACTCAAGGGTGGTGCTCTAACCACCTGAGGCACACTTCCTCTTCCAGCTTTTTGGTAGTTAATTGGAGACAAGAGTCACAAGGACTTTCTTGTCCAGGCTGGCTCAGATCTCAGCTTCCTGAGTAGCTAGGATTTCTGGTGTGAGCCACTTCAAGTGTGAGCCTGGCTTCAGAGAAATTTTAAGTAAAAGACAAACTGATCCTAGATCTGCTTTTATTATAGAAAAAAAAATCCTTCATACCTACTGATAAAGTGTAACCTTTGATTCCCTCCCCCCCACATCCATAGGGCTCCCATTCAATTAACATTCTAGAACCATTCACAAGCTATAAAATCCTCCACAATTTTTTAAGTGCAATTAGCTAATAATCAATTATCATTCAAAGTCTATGAACTTCAACAATGCATCTCTTTGGGGTAATACAACCCCCATCCCCTTAATCCCTAAAAATTTCCCTTTTTTTTTTTTTATTTTTAGGGCTTCTTGTAAACCTGTGATTTGGTTCCTGAATACGTTCACCTCCTCTCCTTTCAAACATATCATCATCATCATCATCATCATTATTATTCATCGACTTATCCATCCACAGCCAGGTCTGCCATTGCCCCGGATACAGCGCCAACCCCAATTCCTTCTAGGATCTATTAGGGGAGGCTCGGCCGCATCAAGCCCCAGGCGTCCAGGAAGGTAAGTTCACCATCTCTCTAACTTCTTATGCATCCTAGCCTAGGACCCACGACCGAGGCGGCTTCCTCCTGCCCTGGGCCTGCCCCAGGACACTGGAGAGAGATTGGGGGACTCCCCGGGGCTCAGCTTGAGGCGGGTGGAGAGGACATCAGATCCCCACCAACAGCTCGGGCGGGAGGAGGGCTGGCCTCCGCGCTCCGAAATTGAACACCACGTCATTCAAAAGCGGAAAGCACCCGAGCAATAATATTCTACAACACATCCACTCACCTGCAAAGAAGCCGCCGCCACCAGCAGCAGCAGCAACAGCCGCTCCTCGGCGACGCGGACCTGCCAGCGCCTCCAAGGACTCATTGCTGCTGCCGGCATCCACGCACTTTTCTAGCCCTGAAGCCAAAGGAGGAGGGAGGGGGGAGGGACTATGGCATTGCTTATTGGAAAGTTGCGCCGTCACTCACTTATGGCTCCGCCCTACCGCCGCGGGACCGGCCAAGGTCCTTTCCGGTTCCCAAATCCCTAGGGTAAGAAGCCAGGCATTGATTAGCTTGCTGAGAAGACGAGCACGTACCTGGACCAATAAGAAGATGATCTCATCGCCGGTGGGCGGGATTAGGACTAAGGAAGTAGAGACACAAACCCGGGAGTGTCTCCAGGGCGACGGGAAAGCGGCTGAACGGTTGGAGGCTGTAGAAAGAGGCTTACGTCAGAGGGAAACACCTGCCCTGAAAAGTCCAGTCCGCGGAGGGCAGGAAGAGACGAGGTGATTTCTTATTACTCAGGGGGGAGTTTTCGGATTAAAATTAATCCTCACAGAAGAGAGCTTCTTTGCCACAGGTCTTAAATCGTGATGAAAGCGAAGGCCTGCGGCTGCCGGAGGATAAGCTTTTGTTAATTCCGTCTTTATCGAAGCGCTCTTAAACGGGCACCCCCTGGCCGTGTTTGGGGTGAAGAGAAGATACGAATGGAACGCCCCCAAAGCTTCCAGAACAGAAGATGGGTAGATGGAGAGAAACTGGTCAACTTGGAAGCCACAATTATTTGAAAGAAAAAGCTATGGAAATGCTACCCAAAGCTTGGCACCAGGCCCTGGAAACTTCTAGAAGGTTTGAACCACTACCACACAAGGAAGCACAGGTGTCAGAATTTTTTTGGCGGCTGGGGAGCGATTCTTCCCGTTCCCCCCCCCCCCCCCTTGCAGGAGCGAAAGATAAGGAATGATGCCTTTCCTTACCACATGGGAAATTCTCCGTTTTTTGATTTCTAGAAGCTTCGCTATCTAGTGTTTAGTGTCCTCTGAATTATTCTGCTTTCATCTCGGAATAATTAGATGTATTTGAAAGGTAATCTTGCCACTCATTTAACTTCTGTAACACGTTGACGTATCTCATTAAGACCTAATTGTAGCTTGTTCTGTATCTCATTTTTCCATCCTAGAGCATGATAATTAATTCCTCCTGAGTTTGCACCCCAGTAGGTGGTAGACCCTATGTAGTGATGGTTGGATTTTAGCTTGGATAAGATTAACTAGAATTCTGAGTCTGAACAGCCGAAGGAGGCAACTTCCAAATGTTATCTGCTCTTCCATTTGAGTCTAGCAGAAGAGGCGAAAGTTTTTCTACTACATTGTAATATACTCCTATTCAGAGTCCCCACCATCCTTACTTTGGAAGATAGAAACGGCCATAAGTTAACAGCCATAAGACAGCTGCATTTAGTCTTTTTTTGTGTTTTTTTTTTGTGAAAATACTGTACAGAGGGGCTACAATTACATGGGCAAGATAATGAGTACATTTCTTATCAAGCATTGTAGCCTCCTCCTTTGTTTCCCCTTCCCATCCCTTCCCATCCTCCCACCTCCCCCCCCCACCCTCCACCCAATCCTCCTCCCCACCAAAGTTCGTTTTCGACATAACAACTTGTACATCTCATTGTTGCAATGGGTCCACTTGTATTCCTATTTAAACGATTTGTTTTTTCCCTTCCCCTCCACAAATTATACCAACATCAAATACAGTGAAAGCAGGGGTTATACCTTGGGGGAGGGACATACAAAGCAACAAAGAAATAATCTTATAAATGTGTTAGAAACAATAGCAAGAAAGAAAAAAAAACATTTGAATACATATGTTAGGGTTCATTTCCCTAACATCAACTTATCTGACCTTTTTTGCTTGACTCAGACTAGTTATTGCAAATAAGGGAAACCATGGAACCTATGTTTCTTTGGGCCTGGCTGCATTTAGTCTTAATGGTATCTGCTCATTGGATTTAATTTTACTATTATGCATAACAATGGAATACTGCCTAAAACCTGAACAATTTCAAACATTTATCTGTAGGTAAGCTAAGAATAGTTGGCTTATAAATATGTGGTTTTGATGTAAGACAGGAGAAATTTCCATCTTAATTTGGTCAAATAGGAATTTTTAAAGCAAATTTTAGTCACATGGAAGCATGGACTGTGTGGCATAAATATTTACAAACGCTAAAGAATTTTAGAAGTCATTTATTTTCTAATGGCAAGATGGATTTTCTGTAGTTATCTGAGTACCAATATAATGCCCAGCTGTTCTGTCTCCCTTTAGCTCTCAAATAATGATATGGTAGCTTGCAAGAATTATTTTCATAAGCCCATTTAAGGCAAAGATGACACCAACTACACTAGACTAATAAAACTTATGATTTGAAGAGCACTTAGAAAGGCAACTCTAAAGCAGGGTGTGGTGGTATATTCCTGTAATCCCAGGACTTGGGAGCTAGATATAGGAAGTAGCTGCATAGCAAAAGAAAATTAGATATAAACTATGCCTTGTTTTAAACACACACACACACACACACACACACACACACACACACACACACACACACACACACACACACACACACACACACACACACACACACACACACACACACACACACACACACACACACACACACACACACACACACCCTTGGTTAGTAATTCTGATTTTCTCTGAATTACTTGATCAGTTGAGGAGAGAGTTAAATACCCAAATTACTAATTTGTAATTCTTGGGAATATGGCTTCCTCCTGCTATATTCCCCCTAAGCAGAGAGATGGGGGCGGGGCAAGGAGGCGAAGAAAGGAAAACAGGGGGAGAAGTTTGGGGAGAAAGGGAGACCAATCAGTTACTAAATTTGAATTAACTTCCGTTAGGACAATCATAATGAATTTAATTCGTATTTTATAGATACTATGCAAATAACAACTTTTGATGTAGTCCCATATTCATCAAATAAGAAATAAAATTCAATGAGTTACAGCCATGTTGTCTCTTTGTCTTTCTTTTTGTTAAATGTGTATATGCAAAAGTCAATATCAGTCTATATGGTTCTTTAAAAATTGTTCGATTCATAGCTTGAATAGAACAGATATCCATGCAATGTTGAGGTCTTGCCTTTGTATACAGAGCCCCTGTAAGTCTAAACTGGCCCAGAAAATATAAAAACATCTTCCACTAACATAGGCTCTTCTTTCTTTATTTAACTTGGCAAAAACATTTTCTCCCTCCCTCCAAGAAACTCCAGAGTCAGTCCTCTGTCCATATACAGGACTGTCTCCTGTCTTAGCAGTGTCATTATAAAGCGGCTGTTTTCTCCTGGTGTCTATTTTCTGACCTATCCTTTTCATGGTCAAATTAAAATCTGCTACCCATAATCTAGTATAACAGGCCCAGGTCTGGTCCCTGGTCCCTTGTTGACCTCTCTTTCTTTCCATGTAATTAAGCCTCTGCAGAGATATTTCCCCTACCCTTTTACACCAATTGGTCTAATGAAGTGTTCTCCAATGTTGGTATTAGATGAGTGATCATTTTCTTAGAAATGTGTTCTTTTTCCTTGCTCAGTTCTTCTAGATTAAGGCACTATACATTTCACTATACACTACTCACAGAGGTACTTATATTGTACATTACCTTTTTCTCCACTCTGCAAGCTCCCTAAATAAATAGGCCCTGTTGCTTTGGTTTACCATAGGTTCACACTGTACAGCATTCATGGCTTCAGAATTATTTCACTAATGAATGCACCAATAAAAAGATATGAAATTAAGTTCCCTCCAACTTTATTTTTACTAAATAATACCTCATATGCATGTAGAAGAATGTATATACATATATATATATGTATATATATATATATACATATATATATATATATATGTCTGTATCTCTGAGAAGGTATTCGTGAGCTGGTTCTTTTTTCCTATACTGGCTTTAAACTGTGATCCTTCTGATTTCTACTTCCTGAGTAGCTGGGCTTGAATGAGCTACTGTGTCTGGCCTTTTCTTTGTTAACTTGATATAATAACAATAAGTATATGAAATACAGTGTGATAATTTCGTACACATGTACAGTACATAGTGAACAATATAGGGTAATTATTTCTATATTCTTAAACATTTTTATTTGTACTAGGAACCTTTGGACTCCTAATAATAAACATATAATAAATTGTTGTAAACTATATTTACCCTACTATGTTATAGACCACTAGAACTTACCACTCCTATCTAACTGCCTAATACCAAAGGGTAGTCCTTTCCTACCCTTTAGGAATCACTATTCTATTATCTACTTATACAAAACCAACATTTTTTGGCATCCCAAAAATGTTTACCTTTCAGAGCTGGGCTTCTTATTTAACATAATTTCCTCCAGTTCCATCCATTCAACTCTCCTATTTTGTAATTGAGAAAAAATGGAAGCCCAAAATGTGAGAAAACTGCTTGAATACAAAAAGTATTTAACACTCAGGATAAGAATCAACATTTCCTAACTCTCAGGCTAAATCTGCAATGCAAGCATATTACTGAGAACTAATAATAATCCACCCAGGAGATAACAGAACTTGTGGATTTAAAGACACAACAATGTAGTGGGTAGGATGTGTGGAGCCAAAATGTCTGAAAGTACTGACCATTCTGCACTAACCATTGGTCTTGGTCAGGCCGAATAGTGGTAGCTGCCTCATAAAATTCTTGTATTATTTAAACAAGTAAATATGTGGAAAGTAAATAAGTTCCAGCTTTAAAAGTCTCAGTGATCATTTAAAGACCCAATATAATTTATATATAGGGCAAAATCAACATTGTTGATTTTCTCTTGGCCCCCACTGCCCCCCTACCCTACCCCCAGGGATATAGCATATAGATAAGCAGGCAACTGGGAGGCCTTCCTAGGGCAGAGAAAGGCTGTTCCTGGCAGATAAGGTTCTGGGGACTGAGCGAGGTAGAGAGAGGCATGTGGTTACTTGGTCAAAACAAGTGCTGGGTCACCCTTTGGTCAGTTAAGAAAACATGAAGCCAACACAGAGAGGGTTAAGCTGTTTAAATATAAAGCACGTAGCATTAAAAAAAATCAACAAATGACACA